GAGTCCCTAGATATATTCATGGTTTTTCCACTTTTGTGGGGGGTCCTGCACCCCTAACCCCTGCGAATGTGGAGGGCCGACTGCACAGTATATAGTGTTCACTACCACCTGCTGTTTCAGGCAGCCACATGCGGGGGCTTGGACCCTGTCCCCCACAGATATGGGGGTCCTGCTGTGCTGATATAACATCTGTCGACTGTCACCACCAGCAACCATTCCAGCAGGTGGTACGCAGCGAAATAAGGGGGAAGTGGGGACATTCCGCCATGTAGTTATTTCACATCTTACCAAATGCCTTTTTCCTCTTACTTCCCCATCCATTTTTTCCATATGTGTTACATCTTTTCAGATGGTGAGCCTGTGGGCAGGAACTGTCTTGTTAAACTGATCATATATAAGCTGATCTGGGAGTCTTTTTGGCTGAGAAACAGGATAAAAATATTTTAAATAAATAACTAACACATGTACATTCTATGCTTATTTTCATAGTTTGGTGCGGTATTCAGAACCTTTTAGAAAATTCAAAGTCTCTCCTTCACAGAATCAGTGAAAGAGTTGTAGGGCTAAAACATACCTTTCTAGGAAAGGGCATCTTAATTGCTGTTCCACAGAGATATAGTGGAGGGAAACAATGCAGACTTTCATTTCCAATAACCTCCAAAAGCAATAGCTGTGGCTGCATAGTTTCCCAATGTCATTACCTGCCTAAGTGCAGTGCAGATATTCATCTCTCTTTAGGGCACATGCAGCATCCAGGTCTCAATAATCATCTTAGCCCATACTTTGCAAGGATCTAGTGGGGGAAGGGAGAGAAAAGAAGCAGGGGTATATGTAAAGCTTTGCCCATCATCAGAGAGAAATATCATGACTTCCCAATTGATGTGTCTAAAAACAAAATGCTGGGTGGGTATCAGGGAGGTTCCCTTATACACAGACCTATTGATTTTTTCCCCTGCCCCATGTGAAATCACTATTTGTGTATCCTCTTAAGTAGGATGGGAACATGGTGGGGAGCTAGTGGGAGAGAGATGTATTTACAAGTGATAACAAGCTAGAGTAGCATTAAGTAAAACCATTCCTAAAGTTTGCAGGCTTGGCCCTGCAAATTCCCTGCAATACCAGGGAATTAGCCTCAGGCGGCACCATGGAAAGGGGCATGGCAGGGGTGGGTGGGATGATTAAGGCAGGAATCGCTGTCTGAATGGAGCAGCGAAACTTTAAAAAGTTATTCTAGTAGGATTGTGATGGGTGGGCGTGCAGGCAACAAACTGTTTTTGTCCAGCAGCTCTCTTCCCTCCACGCCAACGTTTCTGCAACAGCGGGTGTGAGAAATGAGGACGTCTGCGTTCCAGGAGCAGACCAGCCCTTAGACTGTGTTTACTAAGTGTCCATGCTTTCTGTGCTGTGTGAGCAATAGCGTCCACAAATGGCCGCACATGTGTTTCCATTTATCTCCAACAGTCATGACTCACTGCTGGGCACTCAGCCGGCTCCACTCCCTGGCTGTCAGCAGGACCCGCCTCCAGGCTGGCTTCCTGACCCTTGCATTGTCAAAACATGCATACAGATCCTGCATGTTTTGGATAGTGAATACCCTACAAGACAGACACAAAATTCAAAGTGTTCTTGATAGGTTGGAGCACTGGGCTGAAAACAACAGAATGAAATTGAACAGGGACACTGCAAAGTTCTGTACCTAGGGAAAAGGAACCAATTGCATGGTTATAAGATGGGGGATAGTTGACTTAAGCAAAGCAAGAAGGATCTAAGGATTGTTAGAAATCACAATCCGAATATTAAACAACAAAGTGAAGTAGCAGCAAAAAAAAAAAAAGAGTAAATGCTCTTCTGAGTTGCGTTAATTACAAGTTTCACTTCCAAATCATGTAAAGTACTAGTGCCTCTATACTCAAATCTGGTTAGGCCTCAATGTTCAATACTGTGTTGTTTGGCACATCACAGTTTTAAAAAGATGTAGACAAATTGAGACAAGTTCAAAAGAGGGCAACAAAGATGATCAGAGGACTGGAAATAAAGCCCTATGAGGGGAGACTGAAGGAACTGGTCATATTTAGCTTTTAGAAGACTGAGGGGACATATGATAGCATACTTCAAGTACACGAAAGGTTATCACAGGGAGGAGAAACAGGATCTCTTCTTCATTATCACAGAGTGAAGGACATGGAATAATGGGCTCAAGTTACAGGAAGCCAAATTCCATCTGAACACCAGGAAAAACCTCTTCACTGTTAGGCCAATATGACAATGGAACCAATTACCTAGGGAGGTCATGGGCTGTCTAGCAGTGAAGGCATTCAAGATGCTGCTGGACAGCCATCTGTCAAAGATGCTTTAACTTGGGATCCTGTACTGGGCAGGGGGTTAGACCTGATGGCCTTAAAGAACATGGATGGAATGGGCAAAGGGCAAGATTTTGGTGTCTTCCTGAAGTCCCACCAGAGGGCAGCACAGTCATGATGCAGGAAATTTGAACTCTGCCTGTTGGCAAAGGAAGTGACTTAGAACAGCAGTGAGGAACATGTGGCCCCACTGATGTTGCTGGACTCCAACTGCCAGCAAAGCAAATGGTCAGACATGATAGAAGTTGGAGTTCAACAAAAACAAAAAACCACAGTGCTCCCATTTTTTACTTTGTTCAAGTCCACACTATATCCCAGTAAAAGAAAACTGGGTTACCGGGCAGTGTGCATAGTTGGGAGTGAATAGAAAAACCTGTTTTTATTTTGTAAAATAGAACATAGTGGCAATAAAAATACCCAGACCCCCAATCAAGATGGAATCTGTAGTCCCTTCTGTAAAGAACAGGGATGAGTCCGGATACCCATACTAGTACTTTGGAAATATTTCAGAATAAAATGGAATATACTTCCCAGAGAGGTATGCCTGGCACCAAGTTTATACTCTTTTCGGCGCCAGGCCAAAACCTTTTTATTTAAACAGTATTTTAAAATCTAATAGCTTTTAAGTTCAGTCGCTCTGTTTGTTTTGTGATTTATTGTTTTGTTTTGTTTTATTATTTATTGAAATTGTTGTTTTAATTGTTTTTAAATATTGTAAGCCATCCTGAGATCTTGTATAATAGGACGGCATACAAAAGCTTTTAATAAATAAATAAAATAATAGTGTTGTGTAGTGGTTAGAGTCTTGGACTGGGAGATCTGGGTTCTAGCCCCACTTGGGCTAGGGTGAATCCACTAGGTGAATTTGGGCCAGTCACTGTTTCTTAGCCTGACCTACTTCACAGGATTATTGTTGTGAGGATAAAGTGGAGCGAAGGAGAACCTTATAAGCTGCTTTGGGCTTCTTGTAAGAGGGAAAAGGTAGTTTCTAAATGTTACAACAATTCTTTGAGGTGGGCAGCCCCTTAGAACAGCCTTCCTCAAACAGGCACCATTGAGATGTGTTCAACTACACCTCCCATTACTCCCAGTGAGCAGGGCTATACTTGTGAGGGATTGATGGAGTTGTAGTCCAACAGATCTGGAGGGCATCAGGCTCAGGAAATACTGCTTTGGACTATGAAATGAACTCAGCATCCAACACCCTTCAGATTGTTCAGGAGCACAGATCCCTCATTTACTTGGCTTTGCTTGGAACTTGGCTGTGGTGGTAATTAATGCATTGGGAGCACACAGCCGAATTTGCAACTCTGCCACACTGTATGCTGGGAAACTCAGCTCAGAAGAATTACATTAGAGGAATGCTTGGGAAGATCTGTCAGGATTATGAAAAAAGATGCCAGAAAGATGCATGAGAGACTTTTGCCTCTTGTGAGATGGTACAGAATGGGGTTCTGTGGTTTTCGGCTTTCTCCCAGCAAGTGCACTTTGATCCAGGGACTGAGAAATCCCTATATTCTGTCTGGGAAAAGAGCAGAAGCCTATTGGAACAAGATGTTGGGCTGTCTCTTGCCTTGTTGCCAACAGCTGAAATGCCTTCTTCTATTGCTATGAGATTCCATCTGGTACAAAAAGGGTGGGAATTCGTACATTTCTGGACTGAACTGCTCCACTGAAAATTATTTCCACAGCTTATTTTGAGCCCAAGTTTTGCTCTTGTTTATACCTGGGACTATTTTCAGTGCCTAAAACATGTGAAGAAATAAGAGAATGTCTTTGGGAATGTGCAGAGGTCTCATGCAGCAGGGGAACTATAAACAGGCTGGAAGCATATGGCATCAGAAGGCTAGTAATAGGGTATTACTATTTTTTAAAAACCCAGATTCATCACTGAGATTAGCACTCAAGCTTGCCTAGAAAGGTAACCTTCTGACCTAGAAGCTTTTGTCTCTAATCCAGTGATGAAGGTGGATTATGTCTTTCCCCTGAACTCTGGGCATTCACCATCTTTGTCAGTCCTGTGGAAAGCAAAGCATGTCAGCAAGGTGCAATCTTCGCAGGGATTTCTCTCCCCGTCTTTGCAATATTTCCTCCAGCACCACCAGTCACCAAAATGTCTCCTGGAGTTCCTGCTCTCACAGTAACTGGCCCATTTTTACTTATCACTGCTGAGGGCTTAGCTAGACAACTTATTCCAGGATGGTAGGGCAAGAGAAGGGATACTTAGCTCTGCCCAATTAGTGTTTATTCAAGTGGGCACTTTCTGAATGGCCGGGTGGGCATTTGGTTCAAGTGAAGTTTGCTGACGGATACTAGGAAAAATCTAAGGAGGGGGCAGAGCCTGTACAAGCAGCTCGCGTAGTGTAGTGGTGTCACTGGTTTCGCATGGGGGAAGACACAACACGGCAAGCTCGAACCTCGGTGCAGGGGGTGGAAGGCGACTCCTCGGGGTGCCTCATTTAATCACATTCCTATGGTCCTACTACTTTAAAAACATTTCTTTAGCGCCACCAAGCCTGCTTGGCGCTGCCCAGACGCCCTGGAGCTGCCCGCCCGCCCGCCCGCCCGCCCGCTCTTAAAGCCTGAGCGAAGAAGAGCTCCAGACTGCGGGAGGAAGCTGTCAAGCAAAGAAAGCCCGCGCAAGGCTGCCGAAACAGAGCCCAGTGGCGGCCGGAGGCGACGGAAGGGAGAGCAGCGCAAGAGCGCTGACGGGAGCAGGCGAGCCGCCCGCCCTGGCCCAGTGCCACGGAGAGGAGGGGCAGCGAATCCCCAGAGCCCATTAAAAACCAGGCTTAGCCGAAGCCAGGGGAAGAAAGCACCACCATAGAAGGCAGCGGGGCGGCGGAGCAGCGCAGCCACGACCTACGGAGCTTCCAGCGGCGGGATTCTCTCGCAGGGCCCCCACCACGACCGCGAGCCAAACTTTCGGGACTGCCTCCCGCCGAAGCGCCACCAGGCCCCCGGGACCGCCGCAGACGCAGAGCGCCGAAGGACGAGTGAGTGAGCGAGCGAGCGGGCGCGCGCGCGCGTGTCTGGATGAGGCGGCAGGAGCCGTGAGCAGTCCAATCTCGCCACCAGCCAGCCCGCCCGCCCGTTTGCCCGCCCGCCGTCTCTTCGCCCCTTCCTCAAGATGAGTGCTACGCTCCCGAGCCTCCTGGCCTCTCTGGCCGTGTTGCTCCTCGGCAGGATGGACCGCCTAGCTGACGCCTGCAGCTGCTCCCCGGTGCATCCGCAACAGGCGTTTTGCAATGCAGATGTAGGTAAGAAAAGGACGGCCACCCTCCCCTTCTCTGCAGCTCTCCTAGTGGCTTCTTGCGTGGCGAGAGCCGACCCCGTATATCCCTCTCCTCTAGGAGATGCCTTTTCTCTCGCTGCTGCAAACTCACTTGTTAGCAGCCAAAACAACCCCACCCCTTTTTCTTGCAAGAAAAGAGCCGCGGTGTGCGTGGGCATGTTGATTCCCTCCTAGATCCGGCCAGCAGTTGCTATTGTTAACGAGGGTTTCTGACCGCTCCGAAGATCGTTAGACTGTCGTTCTGCGATCGGTTCTTTCTACCCCCCTCCCCGGTCGTTTATTTTTTATTTTTTAACAATAACAACACGACAGCACTGCAAGAGCCGTAGCGTCGCTCTCCCTTCTTTCTCGCCTCCTCCCCCTCGCCCTAGCATGCTCGCTCTGACCTGATCCACAGGAATTCATTTGAAAGCACAGAGACAACCGCGGACTCAGATTCCTCATATTCTGGCCGTGGCTCTCTGCCTACAAGATGTAGGCTGCCAGGGACTGGGGAACAGCTTCGAGACCGAGAGAGAAGTGGAAGGGAAATGACCAGGAGATGGAAACTTCACAAAGGCGAAGGGAAAGCATAGGGCCATCTTCTCTGTCAGGGGGGAGTGTGAGTGCTTCTTTCCAATTTGCATCAGGGACTCTATCAATATGTAGCATTAAGAGAAAGCCTATGGCTAGAATGGGGTGGGGGAGATAGCCATATACCCCAAAGCCCAAAACGAATGGGCATTACAGGTATAGCACAGAAACATGCTAGGCAACTCTAGTTTAATTTGGGGTGTGCACAAAGTTATCATTTCTATTGCTTGAACTATAATATTGTTTTAGGGTACTGCAAGATATTCCATATGAGCTGATTTGAACAAACAAACATGCAAAAAATATTCCTCAAAATGTAGGGATCTTGCAATGTTTCCATGCTGGGCCTGGAGAGAATCAAAGCCTGCAAGGAAATCAAATGGCCTGGAGTTCTTTTGACCTACAGAGTCAAGGAGGGCAGAGAGACAGATGGAGGGAGACATGGATGAGTGTGATGGCCCCAGCAGGGAAGCTGCGGGACACAAGAAGGCTTGGGTCAGCACAAAGCCGAACCAGATTTCCATCACCTTACCGTGCATAAATGTATTTGCAGCCTTTTAAGTGCCTGGCTTAGAGGAAAGGAGCTGTTTTCCACCCTTGGAAAAGCTTTGTTCTGTTGAATCCCCACCCCACCCCCGGCTTCATGCCACTCTGTTTTTGCTTTCAATGGTATGTTAAAAGCCTCAGCTTTTTACTTTGGGGTGCCCTAGGCAGCCTTCCAGGAAAACAATATTCTTGTAACTAAGGGGCCTTTCCTTGCTGCATCACCATCTGTGTATCCTTCCTGTGCAGTAATCAAGCTAGAGGCCCAGCACCCTTCAAAATATACATCTTTCATCATGCCCAGAGCTTCTGTTCATTGGCTTGTTGTTTCTCCAGGAAACAGTCAGTGTAGCAATGTTTGGTGAGAGGCATAAAGCCACAATAAGACTATTTCTTAACAGCTTCCAACTTCATGCAACAGTTTTGCTCTCAGCCTTAAGAGCCTGTGATTGGCCCAGAAGCAAAAAAAAAGAGCTTCTTTAGCATTCATACAAATGGATTCTGCTTTGGAATCCTTTCATTATCACATGAACCAAGGAATCAGGGCAGCCTTCTGCTTTCAAAACCTCTGATCATGTGGTCCAGTTAGTCAAGGCATAAGTTAAGACAAAAGTCTCACCAAACCCACAAAATCTGAGTGTATAGGCCCTGGAATAAGTGAAATAATAATAAAGGAGAGCATGCTCTTGAGTTTGTGTCTTTCTGCTGACTAACCACAGAAGGCTCCCAAAGAGCTGGGATTAGGGAAGAGGGCTTCCAGGTTAGTGGGTGTGGCCTGAAGATACTGAGCCTTTTTAGAAATTAATCCGTACAAATTGGTGGATGTCATTTCCATAACAGAGAGAAGGAAGAGGAGAGAGTTCAATGGTGGAGCACCAGCATCATCTACAGAAGGTCCCAAGTCCAGTCCACAGTATCTTCAGGAAGGGCTGGGAAAGAAGCCTGCCTGTGACCTTGGAGAACTGCTGCCAGTCAGTGTCAGCAATACTGGGCTGGGTGGACCAATGATCTGCATGCCTTGGTCTCAGTGGGATTAAAGTCCAGTGGTAACCTTCCCCAGCCTGATGCCCTTTGTATGTATTGGGTCATTTGCTGGCTGGGAATTACGAGACTTGCAGTCTAGTATATTCAGAGGGCACCAGGTTGGAGTAAGTTGCCATGGGGCCTGTCTGAGCTAGGGAGACTGGATGGCTCTGTCTGTTCCACCTGCTGACTTGCTAGAGTACAGGTCTTTAGGGGAGGCTATTCACAGCTGCCCCTCCTCTCATTTCCTTCCCTGGTACTAGCTTTCAGTGTGAGTAAAGAGATGTCTGCACCATGGCCTGCTGCCCAGCATGGCTGAGGCCCACATTTAAAAAAAAAATAGCACTGAGTCTTTCCATCTTGATTCAATCAAGGCCTTCATCTGCCGGCTCAGCTAAATGCCGAAGAGGATGGCCTTCAGTTCATTCCTTTTTGTGGTGTCACTACATGTCCCTTGCACTTGGCAACTGGCAAAAAGGACTGAGTGGAGAGAGGAAAGCGTGGGGAAGAAAGAAGACTGTCTTTCCCTTTTAAACTAGGCAGTGTGTACTGGGTCAGTCACCAGTTGCTCTTTATTAGTAGGCGTTGTCCTTCTCCCCAAGTTACTCGGCTTGGAAGCTACTAAAAGGTTGGGCCTGCCAGGGCTAGGCCTCAAATTCCTTTTTTCCGTGAATAATCCCCTTATTAAATTTTAACGTATTAAATAAACAGCCCTGGCCCCAGCTTCTAGATCTTGCTCTAGAGATGGAATTTGGAAATACTTTGGCAGGACAGTCTCTCTGCTGCAATGATTGTGTCCATTAGAAGTTCCAGATTCCCTGCGTGCCCCAAACTGCCTTTCCTGATTTTGTAATGTGTCCAGAAACTGAGTGGCTGCTGTCAGCAGCAGCAGCAGCAGCTGTCTGTGGTTTCTTTTTGCTTTCCAGGATCTCTTCCATCCATGGGAGTAAACATTTCTGAGATATGAGAAGTGGTTGTTTGCATCCTCCCTGGAGCACATACTGTGAACATATGAATTCTTGCATATAGAGATCTTATGACAGCTCCTTTGACCCCCTGGACCCCACAAGGTCCTTCTGGCTCCTTGAAACTAGCAGGAAAAACCTCACTTTACACTCTCATTGGGACATTCCTTTTAGCAGAGTGATTCCCAACCAGGGATATGAACCAGGATATTTAAGGGTACTCCAAAAAAATGAATAATGGTGGAAATAACAGCAACTGTATTAATTACAAACATTTTGCTAATATGAAGGGTACAATTTAGGGAATTGGGCTGCCAAGGGGTACGCAAGTGAAAAAATGTTGGGAAGCACCGTTTTAGCAGAACAAAAAGCCTCTTGGGTTGCCATGCCACAATTTCCACAAGGCTAGCAGCAAGGATTTCATGAACTCTGTGTAACTTTTGGCTCTGGAACTGGATCACACTGCTTAATTTGTTCACTTCTGTTTAGTATCCATTAAATTGCAGGCCAGGCTCTAGTGTACAAGAAAGCAAGCACAACACCACTGGACTACTGAAGAAAGCCAGATAGCCCAGGACTGGGCAACTTGTGGCCCTCTAGCTACTATTAGCCCTAGTAGCCAACGGTGGGGGTTGTAGGCCAAAACATCCAGAGGGCCCCAAGTTACCCCACTCCCCTGGTGCAATAGTCTAACAACAACAGGAAAACATCCTGGAAGCTATGCCCCCTCCTTACCCCAGTAATTTCTAATGTATTCTTGAACCAGTATTTCCTAATTAGCTGTTTTAACAATAGGGAAATGTGAAAAGATACTGGGATTTACTTAAAAAGTAATCTTCCTACTTTGTACTCATCCCATGTGAAGGAGCTTTTCAGACCTTTCATTTTGTCATAAAATCACATTTTCATGCAATACCAAAGGCCCTTGAGGAATCCCATGGTATTTCTTTGCTTTCTTTCAACATTCATGACAGTTTCCAACACTAGAGGTGCAGAGATGAGTGTTTGTTATGGTATATCAGTCAGCAGGCACCTTTCCTGATGTACCCACTAATTTATGTGCAAGTGTGTGTGAGAGAGAATGAGTATAATCATCCAAGGATAGTTCCCACAAAGGAAAATGAATCAATTTAGAGCTAGACAGGAATATACAAGTCATAGTAGACAATGCCACATGGGGAATGATACGACACAGAAATACATGGTAACAGGGTAAACCATAGTCACAGTGCACAAATTTGAGAACTAAACTTAGCTACTGAGTAGAAAGAACTGTGCATGAATTCCAACTGGATGGTAAAAAAAAGCTTTGCTGTGCCATCAGTAAGAAGGTAGGCAGAGTATTGGCTTTCTGGACTACAAGAATTAGGTGTTGAATCCAGGCTTTATTCAAAGAAGCGAGGACAGCAAGAGTGAAGTCTGGATAGTTGCAGATTCTCTACTTCCTTCAGCCTTCACAGCCCAGATTCCATTGTCTGAAACCAACAGTAGGTGCCTTGTTGTTGTTGTTTTGGAAGACTTCTATAGCCATGGCTTACCCCAAACTAGCTTCCCAGCATGGTTCACTGGTTAACGGATGAACAAAAGCAAAAGTCATCACTGTGAATTGTCAGGGAAACACAGGTTGGCAAGAAATTCTGCTAGAAAAAGTCTGTGGCCACTAGAGAGGCAACCTGTACCTGCTGTTTCAGTGAGCACACTTTTCTGGAAACCCGGGGTGTCTGCAGCTTTTATTTTTGAGGCATAGGAAGTGAAGAACATAGACAGTGGCCTTCTACCAAATCACACCATTGTTCTGTTTAGCTCAGCACTGACTGGCAGAGGCTTTCCAGGATTATGGACAGGAGACCATAAGGGTTGA